AAGAAGAAGAAGAAGAAGAAGAAGAAGAAGAAGAAGAAGAAGAAGAAAAGAAAGATGAAGGGAGCCTAATCTATGAAGACCTTGTATCAAAATCAAATTAAAACACAAAAGGCAAAATATCTGGACAGATATTTCATGAAAGAAGTTAAAGCAAATGACACGTGCATTCAAAGATATACAATGTTATTAGTCCTTTTATATATGTGAATTAAGCTGGGCGTGGTGGCCCATGCCTGTAATCCCAGCACTCAGGGAGGCAGAGGCCAGGGGATCTCTGTGAATTGGAGGCCAGCCTAGTCTACAAAGTGAGTCCAGGACAGCCAGTGTTTGGTACAGAGAAACCCATTCTCAACCTAATTTGCATAAGCATATGCAAATTAGTAAAACCACAGGATGAGACACTGTGACACCTGTGTTCAAACAGCTAAAATAAGGAGAGTGGCCACACATGATGCTAACGATTGTCCAGGAAGTACTGCACCTAGATCCTTCCTATGTTAGTAGACTATGCTTTGTGGAGGCAGGGGCTTTCTTGTTTCTACGGAGCTGCGTGCCCTGGCCTCACCGGCCTGCCTGCTCCCCACCCATCTCAGCAGAGAACTGCTGCTTTGCTGATGTCACCACCACGTCTAGCTTTTTTCTGTAAGTGCCAGGGACAGAACTCAGTTTGGCAGATTTCTGCGGCAAGCATTTTTCCTCCTGATTCACCTCTATGGCCCCTGTCTTGCCTGAAGATGTCCACTGTGTATATAAACCATATTTTCTTTATCCATTCCACTGTTCATACGGGACTTCAATAAACAGTGATTTGTAACTGTCTGGGTGATAGCTGGTCATGCAGAGTATCTGTTTTTGGGTGTTGAGGAATGTCGTGCTGACTCCCACAGCGGCTGGCTTACTTTACAGTCCCACCAGCAGAGATTATGAGTTCTCTTTCGTCCACCTCACTGCCAGCCTTTATTGTTATTTATTTTCTTGATTTCCACTGTTCTGGCTGGGGTGAGGCAATCCCCACATAGATTTTATTCTACACATGTCTCTGAAGGCATATGAAGTTAAGCATTTTTCATGTGCTTATTGGCCATTTGTACTTTCGGTTTTGAAGACTGTTCATTTCATTAGCCCACTTTTAGTTGGTTTGTTTGCTTTCTTGTCATTTGATTTTCTTTTTGTTGTTGTTGTTCTTTGCATACTGTAGATATTAATTCTCTGTCAGATATATAGCTGGTAAAGATTTTTCTCCCATTCTGTAGGCTGCCTTCTGGCTCAGTTGTTTTCATTCCAAGCCTCTTTTCTTTCTTACTTTCTTTCTTTCTTTCTTTCTATCTATCTATCTATCTATCTATCTATCTATCTATCTATCTATCTATCTTTATTTATATTTTGAGGCAGGATTTCTTTGTGTAGCATTGGCTGTCCTGGGCTTGCTTTGTAGACCAGGCTGGCCTTGAACTCACAGAGATCCACCTGCCTCTGCCTCCCCAGTGCTGGGATTACAGGTGTCTGCCACCATGCCCAAACTAAGCCTCATATCTAAACTCCCTAAGATGTGAGTTGGCGCCTGGTTGAACCTGGCTCAAGAGCCACGGTCCCTGAACCTGCTGCACCCGTGGCTCCCTCCGGCCTTTCAAGGATACATGTGCTTTGTCCTTCTCAGGGCTCCATGGAACAGCATGTAGCAGGACTCATTTTGTTCCTGGGTAGCACCGCTCTTGAACCCTGGAGACCGGCGTCCCGCAGTAAGTGGTGTGCTCTCCAGGTGGAGAGGAGAGCAAGGCTGTGCTGGCTGGTGGCCTCGCGTTCGCCTAACTGGTTGTTAGGGGTGTGCCGCCTTCATGAGAGCCTGGTTGGGTTTCCTGTGGGTTCCCACGGAGATCGGCCTTTCTGGGAGGGATCTGACACCGCCTTCTCTCACTGACCTGGTGACAAGTCCACTCACCCCTCTGGAGGCCTCAGTCATCAGTCTGACTGGGTTACTCAGGAGAAGTCAGAGCTCGTAATTCTTTCACTAATCCTTGCGTGGTGACACACTGCAGGCTGTTTTCTTAGCGCGAGGCAGGCCCAGGAGATCTCTGCTGACTGCAACAGGCCTCTGTGGTCTGCGACTGGCAACGGGGCTCCTCCTTCCTGGGAGCAGGGACACACAGAAACGCTGGGGTGAAGATCCAGGTCACCGAGAAACGCTCTCGTTCCCAAGGATTGCTGCAACGTTCCTATGAGCTTTTAGGTTTCCCACAGTTCTGGGGCTGAAGCCCACCGCTCCTGTGTTAGCAGCGCCGAACTCCCCGGCCTTTGCTTGGGGAGACTGAACTTGGCAATTCTAGCTTCTGGGGGCCTGCTATAGGGTCAACATGGCATGAGGCACTGGGCCTTCGGGCAAACCAAACTCTTAACATCAGAGGCCCCCTCCCCTGTGTACTTCTGAGCCAAATGCGCCTCCTTGAAAGATGGTCAAGGCCTTGCTGTCTTCCTCAATGATCCTCACTAACCAACCCTCAGGAACTGTCAGTGTATGCCAGATTGCTGGAAAGCAGGTCACAGAGAAACCAGTTGGCAGAGAAAGACTGGAAGCCCTTCCCCACCTAGCTGGCCACCTTCCCAGAAGGTACAGAGAGGTAGGGCTTCATGGCTTTAAGGCTGCCAATGAGCTTTCTAAACAGAGCGAAGGGGACAGAACACAGCACAACACCTACTCCCATATGGGAAGAATCCAAGAGGGATTTGATTCCAAGACACCTGTCATCCACAACTTTAGGTGTCTGAAAGGCCACGCAGCCCTCCATAATCCCTGTGGCCTCCCTGAAACCTCTCGTCAAGCCTTGATGCTTCCACTGAGCTGGCCTCTCACAGACGTTACATACGAAGCTTGCTTAGGAATGCTGCCCGAGCTGTGCATGGGGTTAGTCAGCACCAAATCCTCCGTGTTAGGATTTGTGTGGAGCCAGGAAACTAGCTGAGCACTCTCTCTCAGAACACCCGGCCATCTTGGAGCCTTGGCTGCTGCATCTACGTCAACTGTACACATTGAACAAAGGTAGAAGTCCATCTGCTTCAGACAGATGGGGAGCTGGGAAAGCCGGTCTCGGGTTCTAACAGGCAGCAGATTCGGGAGGGGTTAGGAGTGCTGTTAGCACCGTGTGGACCACTAATTGTGCCTGCCCGTTACCTTGTGACTCCACAAGGTCCCTGGGAACAGAGAGCTGGGTCACTCCTTGACCCAGGTAGAGCCCTGGGTATCGGTGCAAGATAATCAAGATGCAGTTAATTGAGGAAAGAGGCCACCCACTCGGTGGATGGCTGCTCTGACCTCTGTCACCTGAAAAAGCTCCCAGGTGGCTGAGAAGTTGCTAAAGGTCCCCCAAAAGAGGGACCTGACTTCTCCACTAGGGAGGAGGCACCTCCCATGAGATGCTTCCTTTTCTATTTCCTTGAAAACTCAGAAGAAACAAATGCAGGAAACACAATGAATGTGCAGTGATGAGTCCAGGCTGGGTGAAACTCCTTGTTACAACAGCATAGTAAAATATTGTATTTGGTTTTTGGAGACAGGGTCTCTCTGTGTAGTCCTGGCTGTCCTGGAACTCGCTTTGTAGACCAGGGTGGCCTCAAACTCAGAGAGCCACCTGCCTCTGCTGTGGGATTAATGGCATGCACCACCATGCTTGGCTCGTAAAATGATTTTTGATATTTTATTTAATGGAGGGAAAGGCCTCTGTTATGCTGGATCAGAATATCTCATACAGGGTAATTCATACAGAACAGAAATTTGGTTTTTGGCCAAGAGGTCAAAGATCAGGATGCTAATCGGTGTGACCTCTCTTGGGAGACTCTTCTCTGCTTCCAAGATGAAACCTTATCGCTCCATCCTCTGGGCACTGTTTTCTGGCACAGTGGACAGTGGAATGGCAGGTGGACCTAAGCTTCTTTTCTCCATCCCTTCTGTACTCACTCCAGGTGAGAGCGGATCCCTGATAACATAATCCTCACCTCTTAATGCGTTCTCATTGAGCCTGAGGTCTCAGTCTGTTACTCTGAGGAGGACACGTACAATCAAATCATAAAGGGGCAGTCAGAAGAGCAGGGCCCAGCAGACAGGGAACACGCCATTCTCGAAGGAGGCCACTGGTTGGTATAAGGAGAATATAATAATGACTGAGATTCTTTGTAGCACTTCTCACAGTTTGTTTGCCTAGATCTTGGATCAGGTTCCCTGACCTGTACTGGACAGCTGGGACAGTAGAAAGGATAGCGTGTCCATCTATGACCCTCAGCACTCTTTCAGCTTCTAGTCTTTTCTCCATGCAACCCCGAGACCACCATGTGAATGATCCTGGTTGACCTTGTAGGTGTTAAGGTGTCGCGCGCGGCCTTTGCCGATAAGGACGACGCAACAACCGAGGATTTCTTCAGCAGCAAGTTTATTGAACAGCTCTTTCTTGCAGATGGTGAAGGACCCAAACCCCGGGTTGTGCTCTGCTTAAATAGCCAGCAAGGCGACCTGTCCATCTGTAATTGGTGCTCTGTTCAAGTCTTCATAAGCATATGGCTGGCAATTGGAGTGCAGCCTAAACCCTCATTAGCATAAAGCTGCGCATGCGTAAACTGCAGGGCGGCGCAGGCAAGAAGCGCGAAAATGCTGGCAAGAAGAACCAGGAAGCAGGAAGCCGGCGCCATCTTGTAATGGCGGGAGCGGCTCCCGACATTAAGGGGGAGCATTGGCCTTGGAGTCATTGCTATCATCCAGCAACCTTCAGACTGAAGCAGAACCAGGTAACTGACCGGGGACACCGAGTGGGACAAGCTAAGCTCAGCAGGACTGCCCGGGTGAGCCCAGCCCATACCACTGACTCACAGAACTGTTAGCCAAGTGCATGCCTGCTGTTTAATCACCCACTAAGTTTGGGGACGGTTTTCTATACAACGTAAGCCTGATTGCTGCAGCTGCCGATTACCCTGAGGAAGGATTTGCAAACGAGAAGGACCAGCCCAGCGCTGTCCAACAGAAATGTAACCCGTCCCAGAAAGGTGTGTTCTTTCTTTCTTTCTTTCTTTCTTTCTTTCTTTCTTTCTTTCTTTCTTTCTTTCTTCCTTCCTTCCTTCCTTCCTTTCTTTCTTTCTTTCTTTCTTTCTTTCTTTCTTTCTTTCTTTTTTTTTTGAGGTAAGTTGTTATTTATTTATTTTTGTTTTGGTCTGTTCCCAACAGCTTCATCTTTTCTCAGCAAATTCTCAGTTTGAAACGAAAGATTTGTCAGGGTGCCACAAATTTACTCCAATTTTGAGATTTTAAACGCTCATCCTGAAGGAATATTTTCCAACATCTTCTAATATCCACTTCCTGAATTTACCACTTAGGTAATAATGTACATTTCTGAATATGAAACATTTCTTTTTTTAATTTTTATTAATTACACTTTATTCACTTTGTATCCCCCCCTGGAGCTCCCTCCCTCCTCCCCTCCCAGTCCTTCCCTCCCTCCCCCTTCCCCACAAATAGGTGTGTACTTTCTAAGTGACTAATACCACATTTTTTTTAAATAAAGAAATGAGGAAAATTAATTTTAATGATATATTTTATTCTATCCAATATATCCAAAATATTAACATTTCGTGAGGTGGGGCTGAAGAGATGGCTCAGTGGTCAAGAGCACTGGCTGCTCTTCCTGAGGACCCAGGTTCAATTCTCAGCACCTACAGAGCCGCTCACAACTGTCTGTAACTGGTGCATCCATCCGGCTCCCTCACACAGATATACATGTATGCCAAACACCAAATATGCACAACAATGAATATATTAAAAAAAAAAAAAAAAAAAACGAACGTGGACTCGCCTTAAACTCTAATAAAAAAGATTAAAAAAAATAGTTGTGAGGTGGTTTACACCCTTTCATTCATATTAGGGCTTTGAAATGCAGCATAAAAGTTTACACTTTTAACAACAGCTGGACTAAATACATTTCAAATGCTCTGGGGAGTCTTATTGAATGGCACACACTCAGACATCTGAATGTTTGCATTTCACTAATCAGTAACACTTCCCTTCAAATTTGGGGGCCAGTATTACTAATTTTTTATTGGGACTGAAAGGACATTGTTAATCAGTTTTCCATCATTGTTACAAAAATACTTGAGACAGTGAACTCATTAAGAAAAAAAGGTTTGTCTTGGCCCATAACTTTAGTCTCATTTTGGACCTGTGGTAAGGCAGCACATGGTGGCAGGAGAAGGGCAATGTCCTGAACACCTCCCACAAAGCCCTATTTCTGAATAGTTCTGTCATGCTCGAGTACCATGCCATCTACTGAGGGTTAAACTGGGCCTTTAGAGAATGTTCAAAAATCTAAACTACCATCAAACAAAAAGATACAACCCTCTGGATTGAAGGCATCTCATTCTAAGAAAAACACGCTGTTGTTGATCTCATTTGCTATAAATGAGAGAAAAAAAAAAAATCTGCTTTACCCCTGCAGGTTCTGTCCTGCGGCTCTTGGGATCATCAGGAAGAAGCTCCGAAGGTGTTGCTGACGGCTAGTTTCTTAGTTTCCCTTGCCTGAGCCGTGGAGTGCCCAGCTTGTTCCATCAACCGTTATTGTGGGAGTTTGAAATTTTAACACTTAAAGCCACATACTAAACAAGGTAGCCCCGGCTCCCTTCAGTGAGATGGCCTCACTCAATCAGTGATGGTTCGCCCAGACCACTTTCTCCCAGGCCAGGGAGAACTTATTCTCGGAGCTGAGATTTTAGAGTTTTTTTTTTTGTTTTGTTTTGTTTTGTTTTGTTTTGTTTTGTTTTGTTTTGTTTTTTTCCTCTTGCAATCAGACTCAATAGGACCTTGAAGCCTCGCTGGGCCTGAGCCAGATGGCCTCTGTACAGGAACTGTGCGGAAAGCAATCCCGCGTCTCAAGCCTTCAGATGTGAGCTGATATTGGAGTGGTTAGCAGTCTGGTTGGGAAGGGGAGGGGAGGGGCGGAGGGGTGGCGGTGTCTCGAGCCAACTACATATCTCAGGACTCATCAAACTCCTCAGCTACTCCATGGGCCACTTGGTAATGATAGTCAGCTTTCTCTCAACTCTCCAGTCTGAACTGAGTGACTGAGTCTCTAGGGTGGACGGGCATCGCCATGTCAAAACCTCCCTGTTGCATCGGGCCCAGACTGGAACCAGTGTCAGCATTATAAACTGTTACCCTCTCCATCTACAGATGAGCAAACTGAGCCCAAGAGGTGGGAAGCAAGCCAGCGCCGCAGCCCAGCCAAGGGCTCGGGTCTTCAGACCGCTTCAGCCTGTCCCTTACTCATTCAGACAAGAGGCAGTGAGGGTTCCCCGGGGTTACCAGTGGCTGTGGAACAGTGAGTGAAAACGGCCAAGCTCAGATTGAGTGAACGGAAAACAAGCATCAGGTCCTGGCAGAGAAAAAAGCAGCCCCGACACATCACGTGAAAAACTCTACGGATGCCCAAGGCGACTGTTCACTAGGTGGCTGTGGTTCAGGCACACAGGAGGCTTCTCGCTGCTGTGAAAGAGGAAGCAGCTTTCATTTGGCTCCGCCCACCAAGGCCCAGTTCTATCGGCGATTGGGGTCTCCTTGGCTCTGGGCCCGTTAGCCTCTGTGAGCAGGGTCTGTCCCTGGCCCGCAGAGCGACTTGGAATAAGGTGTACCTTCTGGGTGAGTTCCTGAGCCCCGGGGGTTCTTGGAGTATGTCACTGTTCCATGAAAATGCTAAGCCACAGTGAGGCGGGAGCAATTTCAGTAGGCGAGCGCTATTATTATCATGTTAATTACTATGCCAGGCAGTCCTCTAAATCCTTTGTAAACATCAACTCATTTAATTCTCAAGGTAGGTCTAGGAGATAAGCTCCGTTAAATGCCCCTCCTTCCTTTTCCTTTTCATCCTGTATTTTGGCATCGTTTCTCCCCTTCTCTTCAGTCAGCAAAGATGGACTGAGCCGGGTGTGAAGGTACACCTGTGACGTCAGCATTCAGGAGACAGAGGAGGCAGGAGGATCATGAGTTCGAGGCTAGCCTGGGTTACAGAATAAGACCTTAAAGACTGGGTGTGTAATATAGCTCAGTAATAGAGTGCTGGAGTAGGGGTCAGGGTCCTATCTACAAAGTCAGATGAGGACACATTAGGAAGTGGAGTAGCTGTCTGATGGCCCTGGGAGCTGGCGCACATGTTATTTCCGGCAGTAGCCCGTGACGTAGAAAGGTAACCTTTGGTTTTGAGAGCTGGGTTAACCAGCTGACCAGGCTAGTTCAGTTTGGGGACTCAGGAAAACTCTCTGGGTAAATGTCATGACTGGGCAAAGCTGGCATATTCTGGAAGAGGGGAGGGGCAAGGACCTGCTACAAAAGGCACTCTTAGGACGTGAGGGAGTTTGAGTCAGGGTCATCCAGCAGTGAAGTGGTTGTGGGGTTCCTTTGTACTTGAGGAGGCTTTATGTTTTGGCTAGTACTCTGGGAAATAGCCTTTGGCCCATGCCATTGAGCTGTCTGTCTCTTTCCTTTCTCTTGTGTTCCGCTGGGCTTGGCACCTATGCTTTCTGTACGTGAGTGCACTCAAGCCTGACAAGGGGCAAGATACACTCCTGTGTCCCCTTACCCTACACATGGAAGGTATTCAGAATATTAGGTATCCTGAATGCTGGAGAAAGGACATCTCACATTGTCTAGAAGCCCCTCCCCTGGGTGTGAGCTTCCAAACTTCCGCAGCAGCCCTGATCTCATCTCCCAGCTCCCAGTAACTCAGGCCCGTCCTGCTGTGAAAGCCACAATCAGCCCAGTGTTTCCTGAGAGAAGCTGGCAAAGAGTCCTGGGCAAGGCAGCGCAGCTCCACAGAGGCTCCAGCCCTCAGCCCTTCCGGAAGCATGAGTGCTCGGACCCGGTCCTGGCTGGGGTCAGGAGGCCGTTGCACGCAGGAACTAAAATGCTCAAAGCTCAAGCTTTGTAGTCATAAATGGCTACGGTTTTAAAACGCTGAATTTTGTAGCAAAAGCTTATGCAGTAATAACAGCAGGTTAGGGAGTATACAGCAACAGCATGATTAGCCTCTTCTGGACAGGATACCCGGGGTGACAGCAATTATTTTGCAAAAATAAAGACCAATAGAATCATGATACGATTGAGTTTGTTATCATTTTGCTGCCAACCCCCAAGTCCCCAACTCTCCAAAATCCCACCCAAGGCAAACCAGATAACCTAAACACCTACGTTCAGGTTTTAAATTGTTTTTTTTTTCTTTTCCTCTTTTATTTTTTATTTCCGAGACGCGGTATCACTGTCTCACTAGTCTCCTCTTTAAAAAGCATTTCCTTATTTATGGGGGGTAGGACAGGTGTGAATCACAGCACATGTGTGGAGGGCAGAGGACAGTTGGTTCCGTGGTAGTTGGTTCACTCTTTCTACCAAGTGGGTCCTGGGGATCAAACTAAAGCGGGCATGCCTGAGTGACATACCTTCCTTGAATGAGCCATTTTGCCAGGCCCTTGATTTTTTTTTTTTAAATGTGAGAACATAAATTAATTGTAACTTGATGATTCCAGTCACTTGTAAACTAAACTATGCAGTGGCAGGTTGCCAATTTCAGAGGCAGCTGAGGAAGGATATGGAATGGAGAGGAACTGAGGAGACAGATTATCTCAGCGGGGGAATCTGTGACTTGAATCCCATTGTCTTCTGTTGCCTCTTCTGAACCTTAACATGGGGTCAGCAAACACCACCAGAGAACACCCTTCTGCCTAGGCAAGCCTCATCCCGAGGCGCCTGGGCTCTCTCTGGAGTATGCCCTACTGGACCAGCACAACACCTGGTCGGGTCTTCGGTGAAGGGGCACCAAACCCGGTAGTTAGAAAGTCCTGAGGCCAAGGGCATTGCATTGTTCTCTGACAGCCCTAGCAGGAAAGTTTCCAAATGGGGGTGATGATGGTTCGCCTTAAGAGCCCAGGCCCAGTGCTGGAAACGGAGGCAGTGGGACGACTCAGGAAGCATTCACAGGGCACCCAGAGGGGAACGCCAGTGCCCACGTTAGATGGAAACATCCTGAGGTCAGGGAAGTTTCTCATTTTCAGCTTCTTCCTCTTTTCTGGAAGATTCTAATTTATGGTGAGGAGGGAGAACCAACCATTCTGTGCTCTATCTCTCTCTCTCTCTCTCTCTCTCTCACACACACACACAGCATTTCCTGTAATCTCTAAACTCTCTTCATCTTTACTCTGCCAATTATAAGCTAATTTTTAAAATCTATACTTCATAAATGTCTGTATGTATGTATGTATGTGTGTGTGTATGTATGCATGCATTATAGTTCTAGAGGGCAAACTCAGGGCCCTTACATGCTATGCAAATGTTTTACTACTGAACTACACTCCAAAACTTAGTTTTTTGAGATGGGGTCTCACCATACAGGACCTTCCCCTGCCTCAGCTTCTCAAGGGCTAGGATTCCAGTCAGGCGCCACCACCATGCCCAGCATAATGGCTGATCTTTCCGTAGGTCAGGCCTGTGCTGAAAGCCCCACATTCATTAGCTGAGGAAGTCCTCATAGCACATGTTTAACTGGGGGTTTAACTGCTCATTTCAAAGATGAGGAAACCGTTAAGTGGTTTTCCCAGAGTCACACAGCCTAGACCCAATTCAGCCAGGATCAAAACTCAAGCATTTCAGGTGGCAGAGCGCAAGTGTTACTATTTTTGCAGTGTAGGGGATTGGGCTCAGGGTCTCACATATGCTGGGCAAGCACTCCATTACTGAGATGTATCTCCAGTCTTTTTTTTTTTTTTAACCTCTTAAACATCTTGAAAAAGTATTTATTTTTTTATTATTTACTTATTTATTTATACTCTATGGATATGGGTACTTTGCCTGCATGTGTGTCTGTGCACCACATGTCCTGGAGCTACAGATGGTGTGAGCCTCTTCCTTTTGGATGCTGGGACTTGAGCTTGCGTCCTCTGGACAAGCAGTCAGTATTCTTAATTGCTAAGCCATCTCTCTAGCCCCACTGCTTCTTAAATTTACTAAGCTGCCTGGACTGCTCTTAAATATACTTGGTAGCTAAGGCAGGCCTTGACCTTGAGATCCTCCTGCCTCAGCCTCCTGAGTAGCTGGAATCACTAATCTCAAGTGCTTAAGATAGCCTTTCCTCTCCACAAGGAGAGCAACAGAACCAGAAAATTTGAACACAGGGGTCTTCCCAGAGACTCATACTCCAACTAAGTACCATGCATGGAGATAACCTAGAACCCCTGCACAGATGTAGTCCATGGCAGTTCAGTGTCCAAGTGGGTTCCAGAGTAATGGGAAGAGAGACTGTCTCTGATATAATCTGATTGGCCTGCTCTTTGATCACCTCCCCCTGAGGGGGGAGCAGCCTTACCAGACCACAGCAGATGACAATGCAGCCACTCCTGATGTGATCTGATAGACTAAGATCAGAAGGAAGGAGAGGGAGAGGGAAGATGGGATTAGGAGGGGAGGAGGGAGGGGCTTATGGGGGATACAAAGTGAATAAAGTATAATTAAAAAAAAAAAAGATAGCCTTTCCTCAACTTCAGAGGAGAAAAGAGAAGCTCAGAGAGGTTAGGACCTTGCCTGCACAGCCTGATTCATACTTGTGTTGGTCTGGCTGCAGGCCTCTTGTTCTTGCTCTCTGCTTGAACCTTTGCTTGCTCAGAGTCTTCCTGGCAGCATTCTGCCCCTTTACCCTTCTGTACTCCCAGCACCAGACTTGGAGTCTGAAAGTCAGATTGGCACTGTTCTTCAGGGTCATCATCCCGTGACCTTGGACAAATCAATCTCCAGTTGTAAACTGACACTTGGCTTGGCCCCTCCCCGCCGGGACCATCTGGTGATCAGATGAGTGAACTGTGGGCAGCTGGGGGGGTGTTTTGAGGGTTTCACAGCATCCCAGCCTATAATGGCTATCCTAAACCAGCGTGTGACCCGAGGGGCCTGGTTCTGGCACCTGGCTGAGTGCGGAGCTCCCTGCATGACTCCGAGTCACCACCCTCCATAAAGCGCAGAGGATGCCAGGATTTTGCAATCTGTGATTGCAGCAGGAAAGGTTTGAATGGCACTATTCTCTCGTCTTCCCCGCCCAGGTGCCAGCTCGGCCAGCCGGAGGTTGGCTGGAGGGGAAGGCTAGATATTTCCTTTCCCACCACCCAGACAGTGCCACTGGCAAGGACACTAGGATCTTGGATCTATCCCAAACGCCCCGGAAAGTACTCCTTTTCAGAGCCATGAGAGCGGGAAGCAGGAAGCCAAAGCCAGCCTCTGGGGAGTGAAGGGGGAGAAGCTGGGGCCCCGTGAAAGTCACACACACCTTCTCTGTGCTTGGTGCCGGCAGAGTGAGAGCTAGAATTTTACCCTACCACCTATGGGGGATGGGGGGGGGAAGAGTAGATTCAAGAAGACAACAGGAAGTACACACTGTAGCCAACGATGACCTTGAATTTATCCTCAGCCTCCAGAGTTCTGGAATTTGGTGCTAGTCAAACTTTCATTCAAATTAAGCAATCATTCTAACCATTGAGCTACATCTCCATTCCACTTTCTTGTTTATTTTTTGTTGGTGGTAGTGGTGCCGATTACCCTCGTCACCCTACCCCGCTAACCCCCAGACTGGGTAATCTTATTCCTGGCTGACCTTGAGCTCAAGTCAATCCTCCTGCCTCAGCCTCTCAAGCAATTGTTCTCAGGTGTGTGCTGCTTATGCCCATCTGTCCGCTTATGTCCATTTTTATGTAAATTTTACTTTACAGAAAATTTCCAGTAACTGTAAACTGCGGATCATTGTTGTCATTTTATTCTGCCCCTCTGGATGAGCCTCACATCGTCCTGAAAAAACATCTCTGCTACTCCAACCCATTCCCCTGACCTTGAACTTCAGCTACAGGGGGAGGCCACACCCTTTTGTCCACTGGGCAGTGATGTGAATTCAGTGTGAAAGAGACTAGAAGGACCTAGCCCAGAGCCTCCTGCAGAGGAAGCGGCCATCAATGGTGGCCTTTATGGTGGCTGGCCTTGGATGGGACTGAGAGGGAGTCAGAGCCTGGAACAGAGGGAGCCATTGTATTAAGGGGAGGGTGCTCCCTGGAGAGAGCAGTGAGAGTGCTCACCCCCCAGACCCTTGCTGGCCCTACTTCATTATTTGTAGTGGCGTTCACCCATCAGCCTGGGAGTAAGTGGAGGAGACTCTTCCAGGTCACAGTAGCTGCCAGACTTTCCCATGCCCTCGATTTGCTCCATACACTTTTCACCATCTTCCACTCTGTGAACTATTTTCTCATGAACACCTTTTGTGACATGGACTCAGAATACATAAGGGACTCTTTATTGTCATTGTTGAAGGTAATGGGGGGCGGTCCCTCCAGCAGTGCCCTGCTAGAGATGACAATCAAGTGCTCCTCATCCTGCGACCTCTTGATAGTTGCTACCATGGGAGAATTTACACCATGGAAATAGGCTAACCCTATAGCCCAGGACACGCTGCTGGAGCATTTACCAGCACAATCACTGTCCTCAAGGAATTGGAAATGGTGATTTGGTCAGGGATACCCCTGCTTAGGGCATCAGATTGGTTTCCAGTGCAGGAGACCAAGTATGAGAGAAGGGTTAGGAGGTTAGCACCCTCCATCCTAAGAAGAGGAGCTGGAACAAAAACTGGGGATTCTGGGAGCAGAAAGCCATCCAATAGTGTCCCCTTGGGTGTCTGGAGAAAGACAGAAGGGAAGCATGACAAGGGCGGAAAGAGCTGGATAAGAGGTGGTGATGCCGCGTGCTAACATCTGGTATGGTCCCTCCTCCAGAGACCTGACATACAGTCTGCCAAACTGAGTTCTGTCCCTGGCACTTACAGAAAAAAGCTAGACGTGGTGGTGACATCAGCAAAGCAGCAGTTCTCTGCTGAGATGGGTGGGGAGCAGGCAGGCCGGTGAGGCCAGGGCACGCAGCTCCGTAGAAACAAGAAAGCCCCTGCCTCCACAAAGCATAGTCTACTAACATAGGAAGGATCTAGGTGCAGTACTTCCTGGACAATCGTTAGCATCATGTGTGGCCACTCTCCTTATTTTAGCTGTTTGAACACAGGTGTCACAGTGTCTCATCCTGTGGTTTT